CTCAGCAACCCCACGGTTATCGGAGTACCCCCTCCGTCAGTCGGCAGTCCAGGGCACTGTGTGTCCGAGTGGATCGCAACGCGATTTTGCGAATCCCACTCCACCACAAGAGCATAGCGTTTACCTTGCAGGATACGTCGATACCAACTGGTGGAAGTACAAGGAGAGAATCGTTCGTGCGTGGACGGACCGCTATTTTCACTTCGTTGTTCGAGACACGTCTGTTGTTAAAGGAACGCATGCCAAGTGCAAGTCGTGGCTTCGAAATAGTCGCGGCGAGTTGTACACTGTATTTAAGAGCTTGTTGTCGTGGTGGGAAGGAGCCGCATCGAATACATCGTTGATTTCGGCCCGTAATGCTGTCATTACACCATTCCTTCTTCGGCCTAGCCGATATGCCGCCGTCGTTCGAGTTATCACGGTATACGCGTTGACGGCTACAGAGGCGTTGTGGAAAGATGCGTGCAAACTCGTTTACAGTTGCCTTCCGCGAAGCACTTGCTCTGGCGCATTCCGAGTTGCACATGGCCGCCCATGTCTACGTGAACTTGCTGCAATCATCGAGTCCAACGGGCGATTACATCTGCACCCGCAGGGCTTCGCTAAACATTGGTGGATCGATCGATTCGTCAGTGAAAACCAAATCCGCAAGGTCCTTGATCCAGCTCCGACGCACCGAACTTCTTGAGGAGGAGTGTTGGAATCTACGAAACTATCAGCGCGTCTTAAGTAACAGCAGCGAGAACCGTCCACAGGAGCTTCACGGAGTGGTGCTCGAGCTGGAATCTACAATCGTCCATGTTACTACCGTCCATGAGATTGTCCTGGCCAGCTCAATACATTTAATGCGTAGCATCATATCACAGGAAACAGTTGCTAGGAGCTAGGACTGTATGAATAACAAAAACAAGCAACTCATTTTCCGATTTGATCAACACACAACAAGCAACTACTCCTCAAGTCTGTATATTACAACACACCGTGCTCTGCGGTAGACTGCTTCAGCTTCTCGTGTTCTTTTGCATTATGACGCGCTAGTTCTCGAGTGCAGACTGCACGGCGTTAAGCGCACTCTTCACGATGCGGAGCGTCCTGGGGCCCCCAGCTGTTGTTGAGTAGATAATACTCTACTAGAGAACACACGCAAAGAATTTATCAGACTGCCTAGAAGTACTTCAAGCATGCGCAATTTGCGCTATGGAGGGAAAGTCTTGAGGGGTCCGCGGCAAATCTGATCGTGGTTGAAGTGACCTGGTTGTAGAGGTCTGGTCGGCTTTCTAAAAAAAAAAACCAAATAATTTCATGAGTAGACGCGCGACCAGTGCGTATTTAACTTTAATTCGTTAAATACGTATTTAACACTAGTTGAGTATAAAACTATTTTACAACTCTAGTTTCACCTCCTCCTTTCGAAAACATGAGCTATATGTTTTCCGTAAAATATACCATTAACTCCTTACAATAGTTTAATGATCAGTAATCAGTATTAATAATGCTTTCCTAAGTGAAGATCACAACGAAATGCTACCTCTGAGAGATTGAAAGAAACCCAAATTCAAATAAAAAAAATATTCGACACCGATTATGTTTCAGAGCATTTGCGTAAGCTCATCACGCAGATTACGGAAGCTCGCTAGTTCGTTGTCAAACATTGAGGGTGGTGGCACCGCTTCCTGCTCGAAGTTTGAAGTCTTCTGGTCTTCTTCTGCAGCTATTGACGATGTCAGGGCGGAACCCTTGCTCAAGCGCGGTGCGTTCTTCAACTGATGGAGAAAGCTGCCAACGGATGCAGTGTCCAAAGAAACGCCAGATAAACGGCTTAAAGAACTGCCTGCACCCGTCGAGACAGAGTCGACAGCGGTAGTAGCGCTTGAAGATCCGTCATTAATCACGAAAGGCAAAATCATAGCGTCCAGTTCATCATTTTGGTCACCAGTTGACTCGAATTCTGCGTCAGCATTTCCCGACGAGAACAATTGGCGGTCTCCAACCACATCACTGTCAGCATCAGCAAGCGCGAGACCAAATGCATCGGGGGTGTCTGGTGATATTCCCCATGCTGTCACACCACTATCACCGAAATCAGGCGAGAAACCACGGTGCTTTGCTGCAATCATACCTGCTGATGACGATTCCTTCACGTTGTGTACCCCTCGTTGCAATCGATCTGTAGTGGTGAATGTGGGCACGTTGCTGGATCCTGAACGAAGTTGACTCTTGGTGTACGCATACCCCGGAGACGTGGACAGCAGTTCACACGGATTGGCTTGGAACGGAGGACTCGCAGCGAACGTAGGTAAACCTTCTGCTGGTGAGTGTGACGCTCTTGGGTGGATAGTAATCGCTTCCGTCTTCGTAGGTGGCTTTGCTGGTGTGGCATCTCCCAATCTCTGGGCACTATTGTCTGCCTCTGTGGCACTAGATTCAGCACTGTCGGACACAAATGCGCCACTAAATGAACTCTTTCTGCGTTCGGGTGTATGGTGCTGTACTTGTGAGGACAATCCACTGTCAAGAGCAAAGCGTTCAAAAGATCCTGGAACCGGAGAGCTCTCAACGAACGGTTTGTGGGTCAACGCTGACCACATGCGATCATTCCGTAGCAATGATATAGTCTTGGGGTGGCGAGGCGGAGTTGACATGGGATGATAAGCCGCGCTGCTACTGCTAGCAGGCTCATCAAAGGATGTCTGGGATGAATGAAGTCCAATCTCTTTATCGTGACGGTCTGCGTGTCCCTCCCACAGTTGCTGCTGTCGTTGCTGGAATGCGAGAGACGGTGACAACGCGCGTTCTTGGTCTCGATCGATTGCCACGTTTCCATAGCCATACGGCGCTGCAGCCACGTTAGGATTCGCAGTCGCGCCACGTAAACGGGCTTCGTGTTCACCTCCATATGAATGAGCCTGTTGAAGAACAGCCCCCACTTCTCGGCCTGCAGCAGTAGCGATGCCTCCTTTGCTGCTAACTCGAGGGATGGCCATAGGTTTCGACATCCCTGGCTGAGACTGCACCACGGTGTCGTCGTCTCCTAGATTATCCCCCACCAGGCCCGGATTACTGAACTGTGCAGCTGGAATCGAGCGAGGAGATGATCGACGACGCTGTAGAGCTCCAACATCGAATTGTTCAGTATCACTCACGGGTACAAATGAGCCCGTACGCAGATCTGTCGCTCTCAAAGGTGAGCCAGCCATTGTTGCGCTTGTGACGGGCGCACTAGCTGGTGTCAGCTCTGGCGATCCCGGCACATAGTCCTGGATAATGAAGTTATCTGGTAAAATCCGCGACGGCGCCGCCTGCTCTTGCTGCTCTGTGAACTGGTCGCAATCTCGTCGATACACTGCCGCTACTTTGAGCATTCCAAACGGTGTCATAATGGGTACGAAAGAGTATCCGTTCGTGGCTACACGCTGAGCCTCAAACGCTCGCGTCGCATCACTCGCCGGAGCTGTATGCAGCGTATAGCTTAGCATCGAAGGGTACGACTGAGTGAATAGTCTGTGTGCTGGGAGTTGCCGCATGAAGGAGAAGAGTGCACGTAGCAGAACACTGATTCTCTTACAGACTTCCTTAAGTTGCTGGATCACATCCTGCGTGGAGCCCAGATGAGCACTGGAGCTCTCTCCGTCTGCAGCAAAGGTGACGCTCCAGCGCTCCAACAGCACCTTGTGGCTGCCTGCATCCCAGAAAATATCAACAGCTAGAGGTAATCGAACGTCCTCCTTCCATGGAGCCATGGAGTCTCGCACGGCTTGGACTTCCTCGATGTCCAAGTTGAATCTGGCTCGACGATTGCTGCGACGAACGTCGGGCTCGGCGTGGAAGTTGACGCGACTCTGCACGATGAGCTCTGCCGCCTTGTACAGGAACTCGAGCACCACTTGCTCCGTCTTGGCTCGACCGGCTACACATGAGAAGTAAATAAGTGATACTTTAGATGGGAATAAGTTCGTGGCGACGTACTGGACGAGCGCGGAGGCGGCGCGGCGTAGCGCATGTTCTGGCCACTGTAGCGGCTGTCGGAGCTTGAGAACTGCTGGGGCGAAGGATGATATGACCGACTTGAGTTCGACATATCCACGGACGACATCATGGCCTGTCGAGAGGGACGCGCTCTTCTTCTTCTTCTCTGGAGGAATTATCAGTCTGAAGAAGCGTCGAGTTGGCACGGGATTGGCTAGTTGCCTTGTTCAATTATGACCAATTGGAGTCGTGCATTATTTGTTGATCGCCCAATACAATTCTCAAATTATTTTGCTTCCAGCATTGATTTGGAGAATACTATCGACTCAATCCGCCATCAACAGTCTTCTGTTGCATTGTTTCACAGATATATTTCATTCTACGACCTCGTTGCTGGGTCGACTGCAGCGATTTGAGACGAATTGCGAGCCACGATTTGCCCTAAACGAACTCCCCATGATTCTTCAGGCCAAGTATCGTCCGATGGGATGACAAAATCGTCAGGAATCTCTTCACCACCATCCTACAGCGCTGCGTAAATATCGAGCAACGATTCTGCCACGCTCGAGGCGATAGTTTTTTTTTTTTTTTTAATATTTCGACGAGCTATACATTATTTGAGTACTTTAAATAGTTTTGAAAACACAGATTCCAAAGTACTCAGGTTTGGCTTTGCTGCTGCTGCTGACCCCGAGGGTGAAATGTGAACAGCGCACGCTTGTCCAGCTCAGTATACGGGGTCACGTCGTTCTCTTCGATATTGTTTTGTGACTCCGCTAGGCTCATGCTATCCCAAGGAGAATTAGGGCTCTGCTTGGCTTTTGAATTGGTGCGGTGTCAGGCAAACGGCAGGTTTCTGCAGTCATGCCATGATCGCGACGGCAGCGCAAGAAGGAGGTTCTGATCGCATATGAATAGTTCCCGACAGTATCGGCACGAGGTGAACCTGAACGACTCGAAGTAGTCCCATTTCACTTGACCAACTGTATGTTTAATCCTCGAAAAAGACCCAAATTTGTTGAAATCGAAGTACCAAAAAAAAAAAGAAATGCTGTAAGATATTCCCTTTCGAAGAGCGCATCATTGTTGGTCTCCACAGCATCATGATTTTGTGGCAAGCACACCATTCATGACGACTTTATGCTGTGATTCTCATTTTTGAGTCGACAACAGCAATTCGAGACTCATTGCGAGCCACGACGAGACCAAGATGAACTCTCCAGACATCCTCGGGCCAAGGAGCTTCTGGTGGAATGACAAAGTCTTCAGGAATCCCTTCACCAACACCACCGTGTTGCGTTACGTATATGTCGAGCAATGGTGCAAATACGATTCTGCCACGCTCGAGCCGACAACTTCAGATTAACACCCAAGGCATCCAGCTTATCCGCATCACGACCGAAATATCCAAATAAGTTGCCTTGTGTCGCATGTCACTGAGTGCCGCTCCTAGTTTCATCCCCCATGCACTCCTTGGCCAAGGTTCTTCAGTAGGAACGACAAATTTCTTCGGTATGTACCCGCTCTTGAAAACGTCAGTGTGTGCTCGAATCCCTGGAATAACCTGCTGGTTCCAAGCTGCCTCGCGATTCCAGGCAAAACCAATCGAATCTATTACAGTGCTGCTAAAAACTATAGCCGCACTCACTTTTTTGATGCAACGCAAGCAATACTTGATCCCAGCAAACGACGCTTGGCCTAAAGTCTATAATTACGACTACAAATTGATAAAACCAGACCGTTTTGTGGTTAAAGTGTTATTGAAAACACAATCGAAATTTTAGGTTGGGGAAGTTCTCAAAAGTTATAGACGCACTTTTTAAAAAACCAAATAGCACTTGCAAAAATCGTTTTTATTGGCTAAAA